CAATTTTTTTGAAGCTCCGCACCCACCCACAAACGCCCGTGTGTCGCCGAGGGCAGGCACTCTGCGTCAGAAACACGACTCGCGTCATTGTCTGTACTCAGATGTTGCTGTTAATTGCTCGGTTTTGGGTGCTCATCCCACGCAGCCGTGCACAAAAGGTGCCCCGCGAAGTATGTGTCGGATATTGACAGTTCTTGTGAGTGTTTCCCCATTGTTCTCCTTTTTTCCAGAATGTTATTAATTGCTTGCTATTTATCTCCTCCCCTCCCCCCCGTCCCATTTCCCTTTTTTTGCATTAAGGTGTTATGGGTTAATTCCAAAAGAATCGTTTTTGCTGATCCATATTACTTTTGACAAATATCTATCTTGATGAATGGTAGTCATGTTATTTTTGCTTGTATTTTGGATAATCGTTGTATCCGACTGCATCTCTTGTGTAGTAGTATTGTGGTTTCGACTCATTGAGAGGCCAGTTGTGAGTGGCTCTTTCAACAAGGTCGGGGTTAGCGATGAATTTGCTCCCGAAAGCTACTGCGTCAACTTTGCCTTGCCGTATTTGTTCGTTTGCTTCTTCAAGGCTGTAGCGTAGATTGGATATTTTGACTCCCTTGTAGGTGTCGTGGACCCACGACACAACATCGCCCTCTTGCTTACCAAAGATGTCGCCACGCAGGTAATGCAGATAGGCAAGGGACAGCGGCTCAATTTTCCTACACAGATGCTTGGTGAGAGCTTCCGGGTCGGAATCAATCAATCCGCCAGCGCTGTTTATTGGGGAAATACGGAGCCCCACACGGTCGCTTCCTACTGCATCGCACACGCTTTTGGTAATGTCGTAAATAAGTTGGCATCGTGTGTCAATCGTATTTCCGGCGTACCGAGAGGATTGGCGCTTGTTTGCGGAGTCCCGAAGAAAGCCGTCCAATAAGTAGCCGTTGGCCCCGTGAATTTCAACGCCGTCGAATCCAGCCTTGTGGACGGCGTTGATGGCCGCTTGCACAAAAAGTGGTATAATACCGTTCTGAATGTCGTTATCCGTAAGCTCCTCCGGCACACCGTACGGTTCCTTCTCACCGCTCTCACTGAAGAAAGGAGGGATCTGATGTTCAACAATGGGAAGAGCACTAGCGGCAAGCAGGCGTCCAGCAAGGGGTTCCTTGTCACTTTTTTGTTGTCGAAGTATTTTGTGCGGAAGCCCGGCTCTTCCACCGTGATGGAGTTGTAGAAATATAAGGCCGCCTTTTTTGTGCACGGCGCCCACAATCTTTTTCCACTCTTGAACCTGAGCATCGGAGTAGATCCCAGGTTCTGAGAGGAAGGCGCTGTAGTTTGGTTGAACCATCGTTGCCTCGGCAATGATCAGACCTGCAGAAGCCCGGTCCTCATAGTGTTTGAGCATTAAATCCGTCCGTGGCACGTGATCGTCTTCAGTTGCCCGGCAACGCGTCAAGGGAGCCATAACCATCCGATTGGGAAGCGTGTAGCGCCCCACTTTGAGTGGCTTCAAGAGTTCCGTGTACATGGTCATGGCAGAATAAAATACTTTGGCTGGAAAAAAATTAGGTGGTATTCGCAATTACGGCAAAAATCTACAGAAAAATACAAATACAAAAATTAAAAAAAAGGAAGAACACAGTTAGTTGGACACCATGCGCGTACAGTTAAAATAAAAAAAAACGGCAGGCACGGAGTTGAAAGCAGGCCCAACCTTTTCTTGCGTAGAGACATTCAGCTAAAGACGGTAAAGACGTCCCCTACCCAACGTCCTTCACCTCGCAGTTCGACGACATCGCCAGTGCAAGCATAGACATCAACTTGCCGCTCTGACACGTCTGGACATGCGCGCGCTCCCCGATCCCACAAGGGATGAGGGCCACCAAGTTGTCCGCAAGAGCTCTCGTTCCTCGCTGGATGACGAACTCTTTATGCGCCATGTCACAATAGCACTTCACATCTGGCGAGTGTATGCCCTTTCCTTGGGAGCAATCTGGCAAATATATATAATGCTCCCAACAATTTTGATGAAGTGTTTTTGTCCTCACCTCAGTGCAAGGCCAAATAATCCCTTCATTCCTTTTTTAACCACAGCACGGGTGAAATACCCAAACTAATGTCGTTTCCGGAGGTAGGCTGGGTTGGGTGTCATTTCCTTGTATGCATCGCTGTGAGTGGTGGTCCCAACAACGCCGTGTAGAATTCTCTTTGTAGGAGCTGTAGCATCCAACGAGGGTGGTAACAGAACACAAAAGAACTTCGGTGAGGACGTTGTTCCTGTTTTTGCGTCCAGTTCATCAAGAAACCATGCCTTGATGGTTTTAAAGTACCGAATCTTGTCCTTTGCTCCAGAAAGACACGTGGCGTGCATCGCTACCCATTTTGGGGTCTCATTGACTGGGTATGGATTCCAAAGAAAAGTTTCCAGCCCGTTCTCCAGCCGACGTGAGCGCTCAACCTTGTAGTTGCATTTCATGTTGAACTCCCAGCGTGGCAAACACCGATGTGAAACACCATGGATATGATCATACTTCATAAAAAGCCTCATTGCGTTTTGATCTGAGCTCTCATCGGTGCGAAAGGACATTGTATCCTGAAAATAGCGTAGAATGCGTTCGTTTGGGCGTACCATGTAAAGTCCCGAGTTGATGCTCAGCGGGGACTTGTTGTCACATTGATGCAGAAAATCCAGATCACTCAGCTGCAAGTAAGGCATGGGAGAGCGATTCCATGTGATGTCAAGATCCGCAAGCATAAAAGTGTATCCACGGCGAAGGATGGCAATGGCCAATCGTGGTTTCACCCAAGAGAATTCTTCAGTGACTTTACGTGTAAATCCCCTTCGTCGTGACGTGGCATTTCCAACCGTTTTTTCCTCGTTATCCGGTTCAGCAAATATGTGTGCGTTCAGGCATGGCAAACGAAAGGACAAACACAGCGACAGTGCTGCATCATCCGTGGTAGCAACAATCAGATTGCGCATCTTGGCCTTCCTCGTAAAACTGTACACAAAGTTATGTAAATGATCGCGCCAAAATATGTTAAAGACCACAACGGTGACAAACCCACTTTGGTCTGACTGAATTTTTAGCAAACCGTCTAGGTCATTGTGCCTTCCCTCGTAGGGAAAGGACGCAACAACCGAGGTATTAATCAACCATGGAGCCGAAAATGCATCAATACATGCATCCTCTTCCTCATGTAACGGAGTATGGGGCGCTCTATTCCCCAAGAAGAGATGGGAAGGAGCTAACTTTGATATCTCCACCAGTAAGGATTCTTTCCGTAATGGAAGCCGGCCATAAAAGGTGGTTGGTATTTTGTGCTGAGAGTCATCTGTGGGAATGACGCAATGACGGCATGCACACACATGAATTGGAAGCGCATCTACGTTCGAATCGGAAAGGCAATAATACTTGTACAAATGAATTCGTTCACGCACACAGACTGCAATCGCGTTTCGATGAACCAATTGAAAATGAAAGCGCCACTTTCCTACCTCCACCTTGGCGTGCCACATACTTCCGTAGGTTTCCAAGTAGTAACTCGCATTCTTTCCTCTAGTCTGTGAAAACATGGGGTCCCCATTTGCCCTTCGACCCGGTTTCTGTGGCGGCATAAATCTATCAGACACCCATCCAATCAACAGATACCAGCGATTTTGGTGTAGTAACGATGTCACCGCGTCGTAGGCACCATCGGACAACAACAACTGCAATAGGGAAGTTGCCCAGAGGGGTCGCGCCACAGGAACTCCATTCGGCGCATAGCACTGAGCAGGAGTTGCGCCTACATGGGTTTTTGTTTGTCTTTTCACGGGATCTAAAAGGGATTTATTCCGCAGTGAAGAGAGCGGAGCGCGGCTTGCGGCTCCATTGGCACAATAATACGCTGCTGGAGAGGGTTGCTCTTGAAAACCGGGACACGGCAAAGACGTTGCTCTACTCGTCATAACCCAGCGCTCGTTGCCCCCGCCACCCACTCCTGTCCATGTCGCAACCTCCTGATAACTTGTGTCACCTCCACGTGTTGTTGTCTTCACGGGGTCTTCACCGGAGCTTCCCAGGAAAAGCTCCAAAGCAAGCAGCATGGTTGCCAGTGCAACGCCTAAACAGCAGCAGAAGCACATGCAAAATGTAATTTGCAGGAAGGACGGCTGAAAGCCGCGACGTTCAGCAAACCTCATCACCATTGTATTATCACCGTTCGCTCGGCGACGCACTCGGGTTGTCCACGCAAGCATTACAGTGACTGTTTTATTGATTTATGTTCCCTCCTCACCCCGCTTCGGTATTATTATTCGTTTTTATTTGCTGCTTCGTTTCTGCCTTTCTTCTCTCCTCCCTCTGTACGTGTCTGTGTTTATGTGTGTGTGAACTCGGGGAGTGTGCGCCTACAAATCGACCATGAGGACACGCACAGGCACATGGAGGCTTCTCAAAAAGAAAGATTGCATCCCTCCACCCAGCACTGGCAGCAAAAAAAAAAAAAACGCTCAAAAAATCAATTTATTATGCACTCAAAATTAGTGCGACTCCCATTGTGCAAAAAAAAAAAAGTGACAGGGCAACTAACCGCATCTTCAACAACAAACTACCAAAGAAGAACATACGAAATAACAATAAACTTCGCTCAACGCACACAAAAAACATGCGCCTCCCCCGCATGAAGGCACCTGCATGGAAAAAGCAGAGGCCATACATCGCGCGTCTCAAGCAGAAGGCAGAGCAGTTACCAACGAATGCATTTGCTCTCTGCCCAGTATCCCGCACCATCAACGTCACCTCCAACGACGAATAAAAAGACTATCGACGCCTCGCAATTACAAATACGCTCCGTATGTGTATTCTGGATCGTTGTCACTCAAGCAACGATCGGCAATCTTCCCATACAGTACGGAGAAGGCCATCCACAGCGCGGCAAGCACAACATAAACGGAGGCCGAAATGCCATACTTGGCCCCTTCAGAAAGTTCCTGCATTTGGTTGACTTTCTTGTACACTTCGTTGCCTCTTCCTTTTTTTCTTCTTCTTTTACGTTTCCTTCTTCGTCCCTTCCACGCCAAAATCGGCCCTTTGCTACCTCGCCGTGCCACCTGGAAGTTCAGGTGCAACCACAAACAAATCATCAGGAGGAAAAGTCAACAGGCACAGTCTGGGAGCAACTCGCCTAACCCCTCCGCCTTGGTGATACCCTCGACCTCTCTCACGCAGACCCCCCCCCCCCCCGAAAAATGATCAGTGAAATCCACAACCACCGCTCCTCAACCTTCATGCTGTAAATTTGTGCATCCATTCACACACCCCAAAAACGGCAACAACAAACCGCCCGATGATTCACACACACACACACACCAGAACGATTCACAAAAAAACATAGTAAACGAACAAAAAAAAGCGGGGAAGAGAAACACCAATCTGCAGATACCCTACGGCACTACTGCCGCTTCTTGCCCTCCATGCCCGGCCTCGCTGCAGCTGAACCCGGGCCAGGCTCCAAAAAGGCGTACATGACGTATATTGCCATGATGGCGAGAGTGGAGCTTAATGCCAAAAACCCACCACAGACACCCGAATCAACGCCAAAATACGGTGCCACAACGTGCATACCAAAAAGAAGCACAATGATAGGAACTGTAAACATGGCTGCGGTTGTGATTATAAACACCTGGAACACATTTTTATGTTCAACCTTAGATAAAATGCGCATAAAGCCACGAAACCCATCTAATTTCTCATTCATTGGACGCATCGTCGCCCGGGTAAACTCTTCTCGTGCCTCCCTTGCTTGGCGCATTGTGTCCTCCGCCGTTAACTCCTCCTTCAAGAGTGTAGTCTCCACGTCCAATAGGTCATAGTACAGTGCCTTCCGAAGCTGCTCCTTTTCCTGTTCCTCCACTTCTTGCAAGGTGCGCACCGCGGGGCGGGCAACCGAGGATTCCGCAGCCTTCGCGTTCACTTCATGCTCGCTCATTTCTCTGTGCATCTATCCAACCAAAGAACTTCCCATTGTATGACCGACACAGCACTCATTTAGGCGATATAAACGGGGGGGGGGGGGGGGAATAAGAAGGCAAGAAATATAACTTCCGCGTGCACTTTCATGGAATCAGGCATAGAAACAAAATAAAAAAGAAACACAACTACCCAACCCGAAAAGGAAGCAAAATCAATATATATGTATACAAACGGAGGAAAGAGATACACCGAACCTGTCAAAATAATAATAATAATAATAATAATGACGGAGATCAACAGAGAGCCCCTCATCCATCTCCTTTCACATGCTACTTCTGTTGTGTGCATATATGTAATGTATGTTCTCGTTGACCTCCGTCTTGGTTTTTCTACATTCTCGCATCGACAATACCTGGGTCTGGTAAGTCTACCACTGCGGCCGCCAAAGGAGCAGAGGATAAACTACTCGTAACATACACAGAGACGCCCTTGTCCACAATTTCATCATCTACACGCTCCAGAAATACTTCATACGAGGAAAGAGAAGAGGGTGTCAGAAACGGTACCTCTACAATGTTTTTTGATAGCTTGCATGACGCCGAATGATGACTCAAAAGAATTGTTAAATTGTGCATGGGCCTTGCACTCACATTTTGTAATGTGATTCGCAACTTATACACCGGGCCAAGACCCTGCACAGTTGCAATCACACGCACAGTGTCTTCTCTTTGGTGTAGGTCAACCCCTCCTACCCCTAATTCACCAGCGCCGGAGAGCATTGATAGATACAATTTGGCGGTGTTCAAGCGCAATTGACAAAAATCACGTTGGAACGAACGATGTATATCTAAGCTAAACCTGCGCTCACGGTCCGCCTGGGCCACAAAAAGGCTTGTGAGTGGCGGTACAGGGATAGGTACATCCTGTTCCGCAGGTGGACCAACCTCCCGGGCCTTCTCACATTCAAATGATGCATGACGGTGCAGCAATTCTACTGCAAGAGAGCCATTTCGTAAAATAAGGATAAGCGCTGAATCTTCACGACCGTAGCGACCAAAATGCATCGCGTTTACAGCGCCATACGCCTGACTCTCGTGCACCAAAGCATTTCCCACATACACGCGAATGGCTCCATTGCTCAGCGCCACAATAATGCCTTGAGTCTTTCCAGAAACAGTTTCTGGAATGGTAACTATATTCGTTACAGGCAAAGGAAGAAAGACACACGACTGACGCTTTCCCTTCAAGGTAAAGTATGACAGTGTGTTCTGGGTCGTTGCCACGGCCACAAGGTTGTCGTAGCGAGCAATCTGTACAATTTGTCCATCCGGAAAAATAATCGAGTTGGACAATTTACCGTTCTTTATAAAATAGACACAACCGTCTCGACAGGCCAAAATAATACGATACTCAACCCGTAACGCCCCGACTGTTACAATGGAGTCAGGGACGCTAGGAAGTTTTATTTTGAGATGCACCTCTGTGCCGGAGGTCTTCAATATATAGAGATAACGATCCTCACTGCCGACCACCAGGCAGCCACGGCTTCCCACTTCCGTTCGTTGCAGCAGGATAGAACTCATGCAAGTCACGACGCTTTGCTGAGAAAGCGGGGTGTCCTTTACCAATTCTACAAACCGCTCTCGCTCCTGCGCATTGTCAGAAACCAAAAAATCGGTGGAACGCGTAGACAATTCCACTCCTGTAGCTTGCCGATCTCTTAAAATTTCGGCTGCCTCCACGACGGACATGCTGTCTCTGCGAAGTCCTTCCCAAACAGCCACATCCACGTCATCCAGTTCAACTGGGGCGATTGTAAACCGATAGAGTGGAACCATGTTTCGGTACATAAAGATGTGTGGTCCGCAAGCAACCGCTACCACTGGCCGAGAGATAACATCGTTGCTGTCCGCGTAAAACGTTGTCAGCGCTGAAGGAACAGAAAACAATCGCAACTCTTTTATAAGAGATGTTCCTCCAAACATTTTTAGACGTCGTTTTCCATCCGCGACGATCAGTTTATAATCGCCGTCGCCATGGATATCAGCAACGCAGATGCAGTTTGTAAATGCCTGAATCCCGGCAAGATGATCGCGAAAAGCATAAATCCAAAACTTTTCCATCTTGCTAGATTTGGCTGTAGAACTCATTTTGCTTCTATTTGCACACAGACACACACACACACACACACACAAAGCTAGAAGAAAGAATAATAACAGATATATTTCCTCTCTCTAGCCTGTGTCCTCTTATTGTTGTTTTGAAGCATTGAGGAAGAGATAAAGCCCCAAATATTTTACAAGCATGCTAGTATTTAAAAAAAAAAACAAACAGTGACGTTAGTAGACGGTAGAAGTGTTTCTGCAACCATGCCGAAAACAAAAAAAAAACATAACACATGTTTATCCCTCTCGCTTTCTCTTTCTCTCTATCCTTCTCAGCTATCCACACTGATAGTTGGCGTGCAAACAATCTTCTTTTCCAAAAGCCCCAACTGGTAGCAACTCGCCTTCTCATTTGCCTGCTGGGAAGGTACCACAGCAGCCGCAACATTGCAGGCCCCATCGCCACCAGCAGTGTAACCTTCAACAGCGAGGTCGTAGTAAACACCACAAATCTCCATTACCATACGTCCGCTTTTATACACCTTCACCTCCCCAACCTTGCCAGATGGGAGCCGCGTTAATGAAAATGGTGGATCGGCCTGAAAGCGGGGAAGCTGAAACCACACCAACTCACCTTCATCCGAGCGTATCGCAGGAGTTTCTACATCAATTTTATTGGCAGAAGCGTAAAGCACCTCACGTTCAAAACGCATATTAGCCCGTCTTGATCGACACAACTCCGCTTCATATTCCTTAAGGAAGGCGACACCGTCGTCCTGCGTCGTCGCTTCGACTCGTTGATCATCTCCTTCCACGGCACCCTCCCTATCACACGACTGCAAACGGGCAGGGAGTGTGCAGTCCAAAGGTGTTGGGTGATAAACAGTCATACCTGGAGTATCGGCCGTCACCTCAAGAATCTTCGACATGGTATTCGCGGAAAACTTCTCAGCCTCAGGGACGAAATATGCAGCTGCGCGTTTAGCGGCCATCTGGGTAGACTGCAAACGAGGCTGACTACGGGCAGGTGCACTGTCACCAGGTGCACCTGATGCAGCGGTGTCACCTCGCAAAAAAGGTGGTGGTTGAACACCTGCTCGAAATGGCTGTTGTTGTTGTTGTTGTTGCTGCTGCTGCTGCTGCTGAAGAGCGACCTCTTGCTGGAGACGCAAACGCTCCAACTGGAGAAGGCTCATGTCCTCCACACCATCTGCAGTTTGAGATTCATCACCTTCATCCCTGGAACGAAGAACACGCTTTGGTTTGTACCTCAGATTTGGGAGTTTAGGAGGCATATGCGCTGCCCCAGTTAGCCAACCAAGAAGAAGAAAAAAAAAACGAGGAAGTTGTGTGACTCTCTCACTCCGTGACGGTGCCGCGAGGAAAAGGGAGCAGGAGGAACTAAAAAAAAGAGGGCAAACACCAAACAGTGATGCTTTCCACGTAAAGGAGGACGGGGGAAATAAAAGCGTTGTGTGACATGCATATAGAAAGAAATACATGAGTTTTATTTGTTATTTCTCACAAGTGCCATGCTTCAACCGAGGAAATTAAGATATACACACTCACCTTACAACAAGGCAGAGGAAAAGTGGGCCAAAATGAAGCCCCAAAGAGAAGCAGTAGAGCAGAGGATACGCAGACCCATGTAGTAAAAGTTTTCTTTTTTTTCCCCCCAAGAAAACAAAAAAAATTTTTTTCCCACATGTAAATCTTCACTCTCTCCATCTCTATCTCTCTCTCTCTCTCTATATATATATATATATATGTATAGTCTCCAGTAACTCACAGGAACAACAACAACAACAAATAATAATAACAAACATTCAGTCTTTGTTCTACAGACCAAGCTCGCCATCAAATGAACTAAATCCAGCCAGAAGAAAAAGCGGATAGAACGGCTTCCAGCGAATATTGTTGCACCAGTTCCATGCACTAGTTAGTCGGCCGTCAACACAGCTACCGGCGTCATCCATATTATCTCCTCCGCTGCCATCAAAGCCATGCCGGAAAAAATCCCGTAATATGGCTTTTTTTGCATTTACTGCACCATTCCAGACCTCCTTCATGTAGGCATTGTGCTCAAAATTCTCTGCCAGGGTATCAATATGAGACACTGTCCGAAGAATAGGGATTATAATCCGTGACACCTGAGCATACTTGTCAATAAAGTGAAAAGCATTTGGCACCTGATCATCCCCCAGATGTATATAATCCGAGCCCACCCATTCTCCAAGCTCTTCTTTTGTTTGTTGTACAACCTTACTGATGGCATTGTAGAGTTTTGGGGCTGTTTGTACACGTTGGTAACCTTGGCCTGTAAAACGAAATTCGTACGGCTCATTTGGATTTAACATGTCTTCCTCCGCAATGGTCCAAAAAGAAAACATATGACGGCAAATGTTTCTCCAAAGTGAAAGGCTTTGCAAAACAAAAAAGTACTGCCGTCTGTGACTGTGAGACAATCGACTTCCATTATCGCCTTCTTCAATACCCAAATTCGTAAACTCCGTTGGTGCATCTGGTGAAAAAAACTCCTTAAGTAACTGCAGCAGCTGATTTGTACTCTCCACATTATCGTTGGCAAAGTGGTTAGCGTCGTTAAGACTACGAACAGCTATCTCCACCTCGTCAGGCGTCCGACCGGATAATTTGCTATAGTCCTTTAGGAGACTGTTCACTGTGACATCCTTGTGGCGCAGGGCCCGGTTTAACTTGCTTCTATTTTTCATGAGCGGCACAGGCGTAATACACAGGGGCATGCGCTTGTCCCGAAGTATTGACTCAAACCCCAAGGTGCGGCAGTAGAAGCCCACTGTCATCAGTTTTTCGGCCACCACGAAGCCCAACATCTCCCGTACATTTTCATTCTGAACGGCATCTTGAACCATATAAAGAAATTTTACGTAGTCCGTTCGAAGAAAGTCAGGATTCATCATTTTATATCGCCTAGACGCCTCAATCGCTAATTGGATTTCCCTTGCAAAGGGAGAGAAGTCCCTTTCCCGAAGAAGCTTTGACCCCTTTTCAACGTCCAAACCAACAATAAGACCACTAAGTGCATTCGTGATCTCTCTGACTATAATGGCGTCTCGCTTATTGCTTTTTAGTACAGCCTCATTATCAACCTTATCCGTATAGTGAGAGGCCATGATGACGCCGCGCATCAACCGCTGAATCTTACGCTCCTTCGTGTTGAGTCGGAGCGGGAGGTGGTCAGCATTGTAGATCGGCTCCGACATCAGCTCATAGTCCGCCCCCGCGTCAGAATTCTCCGAGCCGCAAAGGGAGTTCAATAAGGAATTCATCCAGTGGTATGTACGTGTGTGGTATCCACAGTGTAAGTTCTCTTTTTTTGTTGCTGTTTCCACACGCAAGCAGTACACCCTGCCTTAATTATTACTATTTCCTTTCCTGTTGCTGTTAGGAGTAAAAAAAAAAACTTGCCTAGTAGTGAAAAGGCAGTTGCTTCTTATTCCAGCGTGGTTTGCTTTCAAACACGCAGAGTGAAAAGGAAAGAGTGGGACAAGAAAGGCCACCGAAATCACAAATACCACACAAGAGGCATGATGCGGACAAGCAAAGAAAAAAAGGATGGTAATAAAGACACAGGAGGACACAAACGCTTAAATATATATAGTGCAAGGTACAGAACCACGAAGAGGGGGTGGGGTGGGAAGGAAAGAATCAAAAAAAAAAAAACACCTTTGGAATACAAATATATGATGATGATACCATTTTTTTGACTCAATTCCCCCC